CACACTCCTGAAGCTGGACAGATTACTTCCACTGTGCATTCCTTCAGCCCAAAATGCAATTCCACCAGTCTCTTCCCCAGGCAAGCATTCCCACCTGCCCTCTCATGTCACCACCAGTACCTGAGCTGTGACAAAGCAAGCTGCATCAGGAAACCTACTGCTGAAAACTATTTTCTGTCATGCAAGAAAGTCATTTTTCAAGAGGATGAGCTCTCAGGCAGCTGCTGCAACAGCCTGCGGTTACATCCAGGTGCAGAACCGCACTGTCAGGTCTTGTCACCCAGAAAAAAAACACAGCCAAAGGGTATCCAGACAGCCCTGATCATCTCACCCGCATGATTCAGGGAGCAACACCAGCACGGAATGTGCCATCCCCAGAAAACCAGGTGCAGAATTCTTCTGCAAGAGGACCCCAGGGGGATACTCCCCAAATTCATATCCTATGGGGAATGAAAAGTTGCACCAAGGAACAGGAAAACTTAGAGGAAGGATGCTTTAAGCTCATGGGAGGCAGATAGTACAGACTGTGGAGCATGTCACTGAGCTAAGCTAATCCATCTGCAAAAGGTGGCTACCCCTAACTGCTAAGTCTCACCTAGTGATGTTCTCCTGCAACAGTTCTTTCCATCCCACATCAGTCAGGCAGAGAGATGGCAGTGCTTGCAGCAGGCAGGGGATGCTGCAGGTGACAGCCAGGCAACAAGAAGCAAAGACAAAGACAGACAGCCAGAGCTGATGGCATGCTGGCCTCAGACCTATGTGATTTATGTTTATACTTATTTTATCTTTATTTTATTTGCTGCTGTCTGCACAAGGGTCACAAGGGTGACTGTACACAACTATAGCTGGGGTCAGCACCTGGGAAAGGCAGCAGGACACAGCATCCTCAGACCATGCTGTGTGACCCAGCTGGACTCACAGCTAATCTGCCTTCTTCACAGACACGCATGCTCCTAAAAAGAAGCGTTTTCATACATTACACACTGGCGCATTCTCATCTACCAAGCTTTAAAGTCAGTCCCAGGACAGACTAACAGTTTTTCCAGCTGCTGTCCTCACTGCAGATCTAGCTCTTCTCTATACAGCTACAGACAATCCAAATGCAACGAGCCAGCAACTCGATACCACTATTTTTCTAATATAACTATCAGAAAATATGAGGGTAGGAGAAAAGTTCCAAAGCATCACATGTGTGTTTATCTCAGCTTTGAGAGAAACTGTAGATTGTTTAAATCCATTACGAGCAGCTGGCACGTCTTTTGGCAAACAGGAATGATATTTGTATTTAAATTTTGGAAGAAAACACGAAAAGGAAAAAATGATTTTTGGTGCAGAACACCAAGTACAAGTTGTTCTGCTGCTAATCAGTTGTGACCCTGATGCTTTTCATATGGGGAGTTATTTTCAAAATTTAACACTTTGCACAAATTCTGTATACAAACTACTTAAAAATAAAATCTCACTTTCACGTTTTTCTCCTCTCTGCTGGAAGAGTTTGGCAATAATCCTCGGACGTACTGATTTTACACATTTTCCACCTCAAGTTAGCCATCTGGTCCTCCATATGCAGGTGTACAGGGATGGAAAAATGAGAGATTTCAGTTTCCTTGTTAGCAAGCAGCAGGCTAAACCCCACTTTCAACTAAATGAATTACCTTTTCCCCACCAAAATAAAACAAAACAATAAATAGGATTAGCCTGTACAGATGCCGGGTTTTACAGAGCTACTTTATGCACAGGCGACCACCACAGATTAAAATGCAGCCAGCCCCACAGCCACACGTGCTGTGATCTAACCACAACTTCTAACTAAATACACACTGTAAAATCAAAGCACTGTGTTCCATTGCAATTAAACGTCACCAGTGCCGTGGCTCTGAAGACTGCAGGCAATCCACAGCTCACTCAGATGCCCCATTTCTGCAGAAATCATCAGCATGCGGAGCAACAGCCAGTGGTGTTTTTGTGGCAGAGGAAATGAGTCACCGTCGGCTCCTGGGGAGCTCAGAGGCTTGCAATGGGCAATTTTTATCTGAAGGAGGAAGGCTGGCTCCAAGATTCCCAGCCCATCTCAGATGACAACCGCCACCACTGAGCTCTCAGGGCCAATGGGGAGGTGATGATGCAGCCACCAACCCAAATGTTCATGTTGCATGTGCAGTCCGAGGGTGAGGTGCCTGGAGTGGCATCATTGATGCAGCAGCTTCATTGAGCTCTAATGCCGCTCAGAAAATGGCACTGGTGACGTGTTGGTTGGGGCATTCCAACACTCCAACGTCAGGCCTGCTCAAGGGTATGCAACCTGGGTGACTTTCAATTGGAAGCAGCCAGTAGCTAAGGTGTTAAAAACAGACAGAAAATGCTGGGAAAGGACAAAAAATCTGCTGCAGATCAGCCCCAGCCCACCTGCTTGGGGCCTACCGAGGGTTCACTGGCAGCAGAGAAGGGAGTGAGGAGCCTGCAGCCTGTCGTGCTTCTGCTCCCTCCAGGCTGCAGCAGGCTGTGTGCTCCCTTACTGCTTGACTGCCAGGAAAAAGAAAAAAAACTTCCAATAATAATGCCTTGCAAAATGCTAGGGTACAGCATTACCCACACACAAGCCTAGCAAGTTGCAGGCGAGTTGAAGATTACAGGCAGACAACATCATACGTGAACAAACCCTTGGGAAGCTTTTCAGACTTTTCTTAGAACATTTTTCATAGAATCATTAAGGTTGGAAAAGACCTCTTAGATCATCTAGTTCAATCACCCACCTACCACTAATATTTCCCTACTAAAGCATGCCCCTAAGTACTACATCTACCCTTTCCTTCAACATCTCAAGGGATGGTGACTCCACCACCTCCCTGCACAGCCTGTTCCAATGTGCTGCCACTCCTTTGGAGAATAAATTTTTCCCAATATCCAACTTGAAAACTTTTCCTGGTGCAACTTGAGGCCATTCCCTCTTGTCCAATCCTGTTCTTTCTTCCACAAGAAACACAACCACTCTGGAAAAAAAAACAAACACCTGCTACCAAGCTATCTAGCATGCAAATACACCTGCAAAGCACACAGACTTGAATGAGACCCTTCCATCCCAGGCTGAGTCCCCCAAGGTCCCCATTTCTCCCAGTGTAGCTGATTACTGTCTGGCACCTCCTCACATCTGTGCTGCTGAATCACCAGCTGAAAGGAAAAGGCTGGAATTCAGCCCTGGTAATGAGGCTGGAGCAGCTTAAAGTAGCATTTGAGTTTTTAAGTATATGCATACTTCCACATTTGCCTGATAGGCTTCAAATCCACCATACCATGTGCAGCCTTTGTGGTTGTTAAAAGGTTAAAATTTAACTTAAAATACACAAAAGACAGCTAGCTACACAACTGCCCTCCTCCCCCTCAAATCTATGTGCACACACAGGTCTGCTTGCAGAAGGAAGTGAATCCCTGTTCTTGCAGCCATGCATGCCAACCAGCTGTTCTGCCTTTGCCTCCCCTGCTTGCACTGCTGGACCTCACGGCTCTTCCCAAGCACATCCAGAAGGGTTGGCACACCCAGGTATGTGGCAGAGACAGACCCACATCTAACACCAGGACACCAGTTTCACACTGCTGAAGGACTGAGATCCATAGGCATCAGTACTGGTCCATCCTGCATGGTAACGTGCATCTCTGAGCAAAGCAACAGCTGCACTGCTGCACCCACAGCTACAAGGCACCTTAGAATCATGCAAGGGCCAGAAGATGCCACAGACATGACATAGGAGGCTCAGCTCTTCACCTTTCATCCTTTTCTTTTCAGTAACACCAGCAAACAAGCTTACAACCAAAGCAGAACCAGCTGGGTCAAACAAGTCCTCCCACGTTGAAAGCAGAAGGCAGGAGAATAACAGATGTTTCATCTAGAGGGCTTTTTTTGGGTGGTGGTTTTTACTGATTTTGTTGTTGCTTTCATTTCAACGATCCTATGAAGCTTTAGCCAGACATAAATGGAGAGCTTGTGCTTCATAATGTCAAGCACAGTGTTTTGCTTCAAGCAGACCAACACACGTTTTGCAGAAGAAATAAAGTTCAATGTGTGGAAATCTGTGCTTTTTCCCCCAAAGTGATCATTTCAGAAAGCTTTCTTTTTGCCCCCTTGAAGCTCCCAGCACCCCACTACATCCACCTTATCCACGGCGCTTTGCTGCACTGATATTTCTTTACGGATGGCTTCTCTTGGAATTCTTCCAAAAACAACAAAAGCTAAATTGATTACATGCTTTTTATTACACTTCAAGATGGCCCCTAAAGAAGTTTTTTCTTTATAAGCACCTAAGGAGAAAATCAGCCAAAATCCATACAGACAAACATAAACGGTAGAAAGTGGCTCCCAACAAAGAGGCTCACAGCCCATGTCAGTGCAGACTTCGTGACGCTCTTTCCCTCGATAACACAGCTCAAGGTAACACTTGGTGCTTCCAACTCCCAACAGCAGTGGGACGGCCACCCTGTTTGCAACCGTGGGGCATTCTGTCTGCCAAACAACACTTGAAACCAAGTCACAGCTCCCCAAAGCAAGACAGTGACACATTTGTGTACAACCACAGCTGCAAGCACCAGATCTGTTTCAGGGCACTAATTAAAGGAATAGGAGATTGTGAACTAGGAGAAAAGTGGGCTCATGGTTCTTCTCCCGGGGATCCCAACCACATGGCATGGCTGGAGCACCCAGAGGGCCTCTCATCTCACCACAACACCCCTCCTTGCCTTGTCGAGGAAGGAAAGAAAGGACCACCGCAGCACAGCTGTTGAAGGAAGGGCCTTCCACAGCCAAGAGCTCCTGGTGGGTCTTTAAAAGTCACCGCCCGACATCCAATTGCGCTCGGTGGATCTAACAGGAGCAGCACGTCGTGCAAGAAAGCGCAAGAGCTCCCGAAGCCAATATTCCCGAAGTCAGTGTTACGGAACCCCCGCAACAAGCGCAGGGCCCACCAGCCCGGCCTGAAGCCGCCACCCCGGGCCGCCCCTGCCCTCCTCACCGTGTGGCCCAGCAGGGTGTCGGGGTCGGCGGGTTCGCACAGCTCGCTCAGCTTGCGATCCCAATGCAGCAGCGGCGGCTGCTCGCCGCTCTCGCACACCTCCATGGCGGCCCCGGCTGCCCCGCGCCCGAGCTCACGCCGCGACGCCCACTCCCATGGGCCGCCCGCCGCCGCTACCGGCGCCGCTCCGAGGCCGCGTTCCCCGCCGGAGCCGGGAGTGCCGGGTCGGGCGGGGCGCCCCCGCCAGCTGCGAGCCGCGCCCCCGCTAGGCCCCGCCCCCGCCGCCCACGTGGCCAATGGGGGTTAAGGAGCGCGGCGGGGCGGCGGACCGCGCCCCAATCGGCGCTCTGCGCCCCCAGGGCCCCACGGATCCAGCTGGGGAATGTGGGCGGGGCTTCGTAGGAGCGACGGGCAAGGCAGCCAATGAGACAGCGACAAGACTGCGGCCAGAGAGAGGCGACCCTCCCACTTCGTGTGGGCGGAGGAACGGCCGCGGCCCCTAAGGAACCTACGGCCCCGGTTAGCGCCGTGTACGGAGTCGAATGCAGTCCAGCTTCGGGTGCGGGAAGTCCTCCAGGCCCTTCACCTCTTTATCTAATTGAAAAGAGAGCATTAAGGGCAAAATACATGGTTTGGTATTGCTGAGTACAGCTCACGTGTCTGTTAGAGATCTTTCAGGACATCCCATGCCATAAGAATGCTTTTAGATTAACTGTGCCTGCAATCTCTGTGCAGCCAGTCCATTTGCAGCAGCACAGACTCTGCTCACAGCCCGGCACTGCTTCCCCAGTGCCAATCAGACAGCAGCAAGGAGAACCCCAATCAATAGAGAATTCTGGTACTTTAACCTTGGTTCCATGCCAGACTGGGACAACGTTGACATTTCATCGTCCTTTAAAAACAAAGGATGCCACACGGTTCCGATACGACAGGCTGGGGATTCTTCAGCCCAAGTTCCAGGTCCTGGCACACGCTCAAAGCCTTTCTCTGTGGGTCAGCCCAACACTTGGCACTCCATCCCACATTGTGCTCGAGCTGTAACCAGAGCCCCACCGTCCCCCTGGGCTCCATCTGCTGACACGCCATTGCGCTGTCAGCTCCCCACCCTCCCCCCAGGGCCTGGGTGAGCGCTCTGCAGCCTGCCATCACCCATCGGGCACAGCAGTAAAGAGAAGAGGAGGAATAATGGTGACTTTGTCAGGGTTTGCCCTTTGAGATGTATTAATCTCTTCGGTTTTGACTTGAGCGAAAGAAGAAAGTTCATTTTTAATTTAACAAAGGCAGCATTATTTGGTCAAGAACACACAAAGGGAAGATCCCCAGCTGCCACAAATAAAGCTCTCCTGCAAAGAGGGAGTTAGTTCAAGTTACTGTGAAACAAGTCAACCCAGGGTATGCCCCCAGCAGCACTGAGAACCCAAAGCCAAATTCTGGAATGGGTACCTACTGCTTTGGCAAGGCCAGCCGGAGGTACACACTTCGTGCATCCTGGCACTGTCATGCTCTTTTGTCAAAGCAATTACATTGTGTCATTCCTGAGGCATAGATTGTGATATTGGTAAAGGTCAGTTCCATGCTTTCATTGGCTTTTTCTTGCTTTTAAAGTTAATGCAGCCTTATGATAACTAGCCAAACAAAAGGCTCTTCCTCATTCCGTTGACTGGCATTAAACACTTGTGAAAATACTGCTGTGACTAGACAGTCATCCTTACCTGGTCAACCAAATACAAGCCACCTTAAAAAAGGAAGAAGGTGGAGACTGGGTGACTGCATCTTTATCTGCTCCAAACGCAGAGGATAAGGGTCTTATAAAGGCCAATCTGAAATTTCTCATCCTAACAAATTTCTCAGGAAGAAATACAAGCTGTACAGTAAGTACTTCTGTCATTTTCCCTTGGGTAATAAAGAAATGACAGGAAATTAGGCACACTGGGCAAACAACATGCTGTTTTCCCCCAGTGTTTTCCACACTTCCTTTGTCACAAAAAATCATGTCCCTCTACCCTCTGCACTTCTCTATGGTCTTTCTTGTAACACCAGTACTGAGGCAAAGCTGCTGTTGTGGTACATACTGCTGCCAAATATGCCATCAAAGACAGAAATACTGCAATACATAGAGATGACCCATTTCCAGGGCTATTCACTGACAGACACTGGTAACTAGTAGCCAGGCACTGGTAACTAGTAGCCAGACATTAGGCGATGTCTGGCTAAAAAAGGTAACTAGACATCCCTTGCCAGCCTTATTACCTCAGTGTTGAAGGCTGTGTTTCATTTCTTGAGCTTCAGTGTTTCTAAAAGAATTCCCTGAGACTTCATGAGGAACTACAGCCAATTGGCCTGCATGGGGGCAACTAATGGCACGTAGACCACCCTGAAGTGTTGTGCTGCAGAACCAATTATTCTTGGGCTTGCTAAAAAAAAAAAAAAAAAAAAAAAAAAAAAAACACAAAAAACTGGTAGCATGTAGAAGGCATCAAGAAAGGAGATGAAAGTGACAAATTTAACTCTTCCAAGAAAGTATTTATCAGCATCTGCGATGGCACTCACACGTTGTATGTTACTGCTCACAAGCTGACAATGCACCAGGAAACATAGGCTCTGAAAACACATAGCACCACAAAAACATCCAGAATGTTATGCAAGTACACCTATCCTCCTAACTTTTTCCCTGTACTCCTTGGGGGATTTAAAACTGTAGATTTCAATAGTTACTAGCATTCTGAAAAATCAAAGCTGTTTAACTTTCCTCTTTGTGATAATTTAGTAGCAGTTTTAAGTTCCAATGCAGCTAATTCTGTGAGCATTTCTGTCACCGCAGACTTCTCAACTATGTTCAAACTCACTCTCCCACACAGGGGGACAATGCAAAAAACTGAGTGTCAAGATGCATAAAGATGAAAAGGTGGGGTTTTATGGTCTGCAGAGATGCAGCTGAGGGGAAGCGGGAGAGCTTGGTTTTCTTTTACTCAGTATTCTGTCTCCTTTATGCAAGGAGCAGAAAACCCTAAGTGAAAAACCACACAGAAAACCAAACTAGCTAAGGAGGAGCAAGCTGTTAATGTAGGGCTCCAAACAATGAGCCCTACATTACTTACAAACTTACTTTAAATATCAAGGAAAAAAGTGAGGTACAATGCAAGCGAATAAGTTAAATCACAGAAAGCCTGGCAAAGGAAAGGTGCTCTGTTTTCCTCACAGATCCGGGTTACAGAAGCCCAGCTCCTATTACTGTGTCCTTACCCAGTACTTGATCAGGTCAGTTGCACAAAGGCTCATTAAATATTTACAAGTGACATTTTCCTGACTTGTGACAACCAGGATCAAGATAACCATCCATTTTCTAAAGCCATTTTGTTCAAATAAGTTTTAAAAGTCAACCAACAAGAGAACAAATAGCAACAGTGCCTACAAGATAACTTTTTTTTTTTTTAGGATAGCTACAAATGAAAAGATCTTACTCTTTAAAAGCTACCATAGAAAATGACCATATGTTGAGAAGGTGACTTCCTTTGACAAAAATTAGCACTTCTTAAAGAACAAAAGGCACAAACTTCAGGCTTAGGAACAACAAAGAAAAAATGTCCAGGCTGTCAATTTCTAATCACAGCAGTTGCTGGAGATTGTTCTGAAATTGCTAAGTATGGTACTGAGCTGATTTTTATCTGGGAAATAAAGCAACAAGAGAAGAAAAATCTTACACTAACACGCATTTCCCACAAGTGGATATCTCTGTAGAAACCCTATGAAGCTGTTTTCTTTGCATAATTGTTACGTGTAAACACATTACTTGCACTAGCCAGCAACTGATGCAGCACTAACAAAGCAAATTCGTTGTGTAAATGACATCTCTGCTGTGTGAAGCAGCTTACACCACCACCACTGGAAAATGGGACAGGCCCTGGTTTGAACAGCTCTGTACAGACTCAACTATTTTGCAAAAAATGCTCCCACCACAGAAATTTCAGTTAAAAATAGAAGGTGCGATTGAAAACAGTGCAGTTTTCTTCTCAAAATCCTGGCATTATAATCATTTTCTGACATGAATACTTGTGAAAGATGTGGGATTACCAGTACTGGATGCAGCCTACTACCGAAACCACATAATCAGTACACTGACAGAAATACAAGAACCCTTTACCAGAACATTCCTCCCTCCTGCACCTCAGGACTTCTCAAAGCACTAATTCAGCTTTCCTGCCTTTGACAATTCAAGGCCTCCCTGCATGAGATTTCACCAAGCTTCCACAGGCAGCCCTAATCTTCACAGCCGAGCAGGGACAGGGCTCAGACACCTACCCTTGATACTGTGCAGTCAGCAGGGTGCAACCTGGTGGCCGTATCAGTAGCCAAAGCAGGTACCTGCTGCTAAAAAGCTCATGCAGTTCTGTACTAGTCCAAGCTCTCAGCCATGCTTGATTCATGCTGTTATTCTGTCCTCAGAAACTGAGCCCCTGAAACAAATGAAATAAGTTGGTTCAGCCAGAGACATCAAAAGTCCTGCTTCAATGAATTGTAGGTAATCTGTACCTTTGTTCTCAGACCTGCTCAGCCTTAATTAAATGTGAAAACGTTTCTCGCTGTGTCGTATTTTGAAAGCTCTTAACTGGCACAGTGCCCACAGTGTTCTCAAACCAGAGCACTACAGCCACTGAAACAAGCTCAGAAGAGGGTTTCCTCCACCTTATACCAGACTGGAAGAAACAACTGAATGATGCCAAGATGCCTCACTGACCAAAGTAGCTCTGTCCCAGGTCTGTTAAGAAATGCTCCAAATACTTCAAAGAAATCTTTTTTTTATCTCTTCCAATCTATCTTCATAAAAACATAAAGTAAATTCCTTTTGAAGGTCAAACATGTATAAAAGCCCCAGCTGATGCAAGCAATCAGGGTTTACCTAATCCAGTTTACACAAGAGGTTAGCAGGAACAATCAAAAGATGAATGCCATTCACCAAGGAATAAAATGGAGAAGTACTCTTTGCCTAGCTATAAACAAGGTATAAACAAGGCACAAACAAGGTATTTAAATCAGTAGATACCATTCCATTCTAACATTCCCTTGCAGAGAAAATAACAAGCAATAAAAGATGAACAAAATGCTTTATGAAGGTTGATTTCACACTATTTCTC